CCTCTCAATCTTTCTGTACATCTGCAAATCATGGGCATTAACAGCAGAATTAAAGCAAAAAATCTAAACATTAGAAATGAGTTGCTCCAGAATTATCCACAGTATCTTCATCATAGCCTGCATTAGAAATGATGCAGCATGAGACACCATCAAACATCAAGAAGAGGAAATTGAAATGAAATATATAACAGTGATGAAATTCAGAAAGATCTAAGTAGATCTATTTTCATAGCACTGCCTAAGAAACTAGATACAGATGAATGAGAACTCCATTGAACAATCAGCTATATAACAAAAATTTTGATGAATAGTGTGTGCTGCAGAATCAGACCTGAAATAGACACTGGAACAAGAAATGAAATATTTATGCACAGAATATCAAAAAGAGAAATACAAATGCAAAAGGATGTGTACCTATGTTTTAAAGATTCTGTGAAAACGTTTGATAAAGTATATAACAAAAAACTATTAGAACTGCTCGTTAACCTTAACATATTTGGGAAGGATATTAGAATAATCCAGAACCTATACTGGTAGGAGACTGCCTGCATACAAATAGAAAATGAGTTCAGTAATTATACAAAAATAGAAAAGGGTGTAGGACAAGGATGTGTCTTCTTATAGCCTTATTCAAACAATGCAGTGAGGTGATTCTGAGAAAATTAGCACAGTGTTGATAGCTGACATAGAAAGGAAAGTACAAAATCTCCTACAGAAGGTAGTGAAAGAAAGCAAGAAGAAAGGACTAAATATCAATAAGACTGAATGTCTGGTTATTAGCAAAAGGAACAGACCAACATGCAAATTACAAATTGTAAAATTATACAAGTAGAAAAATTTAAATATCTGGGAAGTGTTTTAACAGGACAGAAAGTGCCACCCTGAAATCCAAAAGTGCATTGGGATGGCCAACGATGCCTTCCAAAAGTTATGCAACGTATCAAAATAAAAAAAAAAAGGAAACAAAAAGGAAACTTATACTAAACAGAAGAGAACATTAAAATTTCTAGAGCCCATAACAAGGAAAGAGGGCTTGGCAAATTTTATACTCATTGGACAGATTGTAAGCAAGATGGACAGGGGAAAACAATGCATAACCTACCTAGTGAGTTTTAGTAAATGAATGGCAGAGCAAGGTTTAAGGGAGATAAGAAAAAGACAACATTTATTAAGAGCTACAAAGGAGAGGAAATTTCAGAGAGTAATTATTGCCTATGTCATGTGAGTACACAGCATATAAAAGAATAATATTTTATGTGCTATTTTCAAAAATGTTTATTTCATAGTTATTTTATTTGTTTACTTAGAAAAATCATAAAAATCTAGATTTTTGCACTTTCAATTTCACAAGTGAATATGTGGAATGGTGTCTCCTCAAAGATGAAGAAGAGATTTGAAGCAACAGAAATGTGGTTCTACATATCAATGCTGAGGATACCATAGACTGAATATGCCAGTAATGACAAGGTTTTAGAGAAAAAATGGGAACATAAAGGAAACTTATAAATCAGGAAATTCTGGGACACATAAGAAAAAAGTGGGACTTGGAAAATCTGGTACTCACAGGACAGATTGAACGCAAAAGGAACAGAGGGAAACAACACGTAACATACTTTAGAAGCTTGAGTAAATAGATGATGGAACAGGTTTTAGGAGAAATAATGAAAAGACAAAAATGTCCTGAAGGAATATAGGAGAAAATGGATGAATCATAAGAAATAACAATTTTCCACTACCATCCTACAAGGAGTAGAAAGCGTGAAAAGAAAAATGAGAAAGAACCTCAAACACTGGCATGCAACATATGGCAGGATCTGTTCAGGTACTCAGTTGAGCAGTTACCCTTTGACCACACCCAGTCAAGGGACATGATGATGATGACTATTAAATTCAATTCTTCATATCTGGACATCGTTTTGATAGAAGTGTCTTATGCATTTTCTACATCACAAATGATGCAGCATAACACATCATCAAACAAGCCTATACTTTTGAAGGAATCATTCTACCCATTTCCAACATAGACCACATCACAGATGATAATAATTTTATGATAGACATCTATTGTTAATGTTATTATAAAATTGCATTGAAAATCAGGAATATGATATTATACACACAATTTAAATTCATTGCTAATGTTTTCTTATAAAAATAATATGAAGGATTTTATTACAGAACTGTGTTGCTAATGGAAGTGCATTGTTGTCAGTGGTTTGGAATTAAGACAAGCACTACTGACAGAATAAGTTTGTTATACATACATACATGTATATATACACACACACACACACACACACTGCTAAAGATTTTACTTTAAAAAGTAATACAAATGATTTTTCTATAAAGTTGTGTTGCTAATGGTCTTACAATAAAAGTACATTGTTAATCTTATTATAGCATTGCATTAAAAAACCTAGAAGAAAGTGATTTTCGATGGTTAGAATTTACATTCACTCAAATTCATAGACTCCCTGAGGAGTACGGAACCACTGTGTTCAAATCTTGTAAACTCCCTGTGTGGTATATAAGGGCCACAGCTCTCAGCATGCTAGGAATTGATGTTGTAGTAGGTTTTTATAGGATGGAGTTGCTAGCCCATACCCGGCTGGTTTTGAATTCAGAGTTGTCCACATAGATTCGTTAACAAACACAGCTAAATACACAGGCTGCCCTACTATTTGACTCATAAATGAGAAGAGAAGAGATGGATTCATACATTTCCAGAGGGTATTTGCATGTAAGTGAATGCAATGGAATTTGAACTCGGCTCTCCAATTTCTTATTCTGAGCTGCTATCCATTACACTACCCACACATCCATGGTCAGGAATTAAGTGTTATGACAGAATATGGCTATTAGATATATATATATAATTTAAATGCATTGTTCATAGTTTACTATAGTACTGCATTGTTCTACATTTATTATAGAAAAGATTGTAATCAGGAAGGAAAGGTATTGTCAGTGGTTAGGAATAAAGTCAAATGTTGCTGACAGAATAGAAATATTATATATCTAATGATATTATTCATTTGGCTGAGAAAATTAAAAATAAGTTTTTATTTCCATAATTTTTCTCAGTCTAATTAATAAATATTAGATTCAGATTTCTTTATGCAATTTTTGTGCATAAACAGATTGCTGGTTTGAAAGTGAACTTGGAACACCAACTTTCTTCTCCAACTGCCACCCACAACCTCAGAAAAAAACTATTTCTCTATTTTGGTGGGTGGGGATTCAAATGATGAGATCATAGCTTTCAGGTTTTTTTTTTTTTTCGTTTTGTTTTACTATCAGGAGCAGTTTTCATTCATGTTAGCAAGTGAACTTCTTTCTAACTACTTTATTTATCTATTCAGTTATTTAGTTATTTTTTTTTTTTTTTTGACAAGGCCAGGATTTTATAAAAATTAGTTTTACTTTTCAAAAGAAATAGAAATATTCCTGACTTTTTTTATTCAAAACCAAGAAAATGTTTGTGTGTGTGTGTGTAAGTAATGGAAGTAAGATCAACATGTATTGCAAAGGCCACACCTGAATTAAAATATGTGCCGAGCAGTGATAATCTGTCCCTGGCCTGATAAAATCTCTAATGGGACATGCATGACTGATAGAGGTTTACAAAGTTTTGTTGACAGGAGAGAATTATTGTAAGTAGGTTTTATTATGTTCTGCTACTTTCAATATTCAACATACATTTGTTAGTTGTTCATAGTTGCATATAACTTCAGTTTTTTAAAATGAGAGCTTTTGAGGTTTTAAACATTGGAATTAGCATCCAAAAGTAGTAACACAAGTTATTGAAGTGCCTTCCATATCTAACTTCATACTGATTATGTAGGGCAGTGAACAAATGTTGATGACAACTTAAGTCGTGGGCTACACTGTTGTTGTTCTTTCTTACTGTTAGTTGTGTGACAAGGCAACTACCAGTTGGAAGGTTTAAAAAAAAAAAAATGCACACACACATTTGTAAACACAACAGTTAGATGATATAATAACAATCTCTTACTTTGGGAAACATTTTTTCATTGGGAGTTGTTTTGTCGCCAGTTTTAAAACTTTTTAAAACTTTAGCATGCCTCAGCTGCTTTGGACATGATACATTGATTTCAACTTGCTGATATTTGCTGACGGAAAACAGAAAAGCGATGGAGAAAGCACATACAAGGGATAAACTTCCAAAGTGTATTGTTTCCTATAACTTCAAACTTCTGACGAGAAAATATAAACGCTTCTTCAGGGTGTTTCTTTTTTCTTTATATAACAGGTGTATACATCACAGATGGTTGATTAGTGATATCTGTAGATAGGTATGTTTGTTACAGTTTTTATTAAGTTGTCGATTATTCTACTTCCCCTAATTACTTACAGATCTTATCCCGTGTTCTTATCTAAGGAAGAACATTTTGACAGCTGATATAGTTTGCAGCCTGGATTTACTTATTTTGAAAAACAGGCACTCCATGGACACTTTGAAGTAGATATAAAAGATTTTTATTTTTTCTTACTTTTGATTGTTTGCAAATTGACCGATATTCATATTAATAACAGTCTAGCTCCAAAAAAGGGATTGATTTACAGTTTTATGTTAGTTATGCAACAACAATTCACAGATTATGCAGAAAGGTAAAAAAAAGAAAAAAAAAAAAAAATGAATCTTTGATAATGTGTGTTTTCTGACAGTTCTGTTTCAAACAAGTAACAAAAAAAACACTAAAACAAAAATGAGCCAGGAAGAGAAATTGCAGCCAACAATGAAGTTTATGCTGTCTACTGAAAATATGTATGGGAGTCTATCTCCACAAGTACACAAATGGAAATCATCAAGTTTAAATGATTTGTCCAAGAAAAAAAATTATGCTCCAATAGCTCCAAATGTAAATTCCAATGATTCAACTATCAGCATCTGTTCAGTTTCTAGTGAAGAGGAGAGAGCACCAATGCACAGATATTCTGATTTAATACCAGGGGAGATTAATAAAAAAGACCATTCTATGTACAATGAAAAAAATAGTCCATATAGCTTCCTGGAGGGACTTAAACATCGCTTACCAAAAATATCCCCCAAAACAGCCAGGAAACAGGACCAGGATATTAAAATCTCCACGACACAACTAGTTATTTTACCGGTGGAATTCTATCATGGTTGTGAATTTGAGGTAGGTAACATTTTTTTTTAGCATCTTTTAGTAGATTTTTTTAATTATCATTTTTATTCATTATTTGGTATTGTGAAGATTTATATCAATATATTTTGCAGATAACTATATAAGAAATAGAAATCTGATATTTTTTAAGGTGTGTATGTATGTATATGTGTGTGTGTGCGTATGAATATGTGTGTGTGTGTGTGTATATATATATATATATATATATATATATATATATATGCATGTATGAATATGTGTGTGTGTATATGAATATGTATGTATATATGTATATAAAAAAAAAAAATTGATATGTTTAAGGTCTGTGTATGTATATATATATATATATATATATATATATATATATATAATGAAATCTGATATTTTGTACGGAATATAAAAAAGCAATCTTATATTTTTTAGTGATAAAAAAAATTTGATATTTTTACAAGGAATATAGAAAATATCTGACATTTTTTGCAATATATATAAAGAAATTTGATACTTTTTTTTTTTTAATTGGCATATATATATATATATATATATATATATATATATATATATATATATATATACATACACACACACACATACATATTTAGTGTATTGAGGCTGTAGATCATTATTTAAATGTAAATTGTTAAATATAACAGACAATAAATGTCTTTTATGTTTGATCATGAGCCGTTCTAAATTCTGCATATTTGCTTTCATTTTGGGTGAAAATAAAGACAAAAATTATCCAACATTTGGATATTTATTTTATTAAGCTGTACCTTGATCTAAGCTCTCAGCTTGCATGAGTCATCTTCAGAGTTTTATACCAATATTTAAACAGAGGTATTCACCATCATTCTGTTATATTGACATAGAAGGTTGCTATGCAACAATAATGGTCGTGGAATAGCAGACGCAGGTCATAAGTTCATGATGCGGTTCTATGACATCATACCATGTGAGAGTCTGAAATATTAACAACAGAACCATATGTCTAGATGCAATGTAATGTGTTGCAACTAGTTTGAAATGTAATTTTGTTGAGTGTGGGTACTTGAGTGGTACATGCTAATAATAATTTTTTAAAAATAGTGTTGTTTAATATTGATGGGTGGAAGAGAATAGTGATTATATATGTCACGGATAATGATGTCAGTTTTTTTTATGGATGGAGATATTAGTAAATAAATTTTGTACATCCAAAGATGCAATTTTTTGGTTGTTTGGTTTTACAGCATGAAGAATTTGTACATATTCATTTGTTTACTTGGTGGGTAGTGAGTAATTAATTTGTTACTCCTTATTTCTCTCCTACCCATCAATATTAAACCTACTATTTAAAAAAAAAATTATTATTAGCATGTACCACACAAATACCTTTTCATGATCCCCAAGGTAATATTTATACTTGAATAGATGGTATTGCAATGGGATCTCATTTAGGCCCCCTTTCTTCTAATTATCATGTGGTACATCTAGAAAATAAAATACTCAATAACACTAATAAACCCCTATATATGTAAGATAGATGGCATTTTCATTTTAGCTAAAAATATTGATCAAATTACACAACTTAAAAACAAATTCACTCCATCCTCAAATATACATTAGAACTTAATATTAATAATAAATTCCATTCCTTGATGTATTTATTGATTCCTGCTCACATAAATATATAAAGTACAGTGTATGTGTGTCCAGTCAACTGCTCTGCTCCCACTCAGGTGGCATTTAAGCTATCTTCTGTAGTGGACTCTTGGTTTGGCCATCATAGCAATAGCTAGGGAGGAGTAGATATGATAGGCATCAATAAACTACAGAAGAACTTAAAATTGATCACTGCATTTAAGTATTGAATTAATGTTTAAGCTTACCTTTTAAAAGTTCAATGATTATTCTTCTGCTGTCACTTAATTTAAAGACGATTTTATGTATGTAGGTCCTTACTTTCTGTATAAACAATTGTTTATTTCATGGGTGACAGAACAGGGGACAATTTATAAGATAAAATTAATATAGTGCAAAAATGGGAAAATGCAAATCTAATTTGCATTTTCCCATTCTAATCTTCTAACTGGGTACCTCTCAGTATGATTTTTTTCAGTTGATGGAGCTGCCCCTGAATTTGATATTTTTGAAAGTATATATAAAAAAGAAATTTGATATATTTTAAGGTATATATAAAATAAAAAATTTAATATTTTTGCAAGTTATTAACAAAAAAAAAAATTGATAGTTTTCTAAGGAATATAAAAAAAGAAGTATGATATTTTTACAAGGTACAGAAAAAAGATTAATTGAGCCTTCATCACAATAGGTAGGGAGGGGTAGATGTGATAGGTAACAATAAACCACAGAGCTCAGAATTGATTGTTGCATTTAAGTATTGCATATTTAAGCTTACCATTTAAAAGTTCAATGATAATTCTCCTGCCGCCACTTAATTTAAAAACAATTTGGCGTATATATCTCTTTACTTTCCATACAAACAGTTATTTTTATTTCATGGGTGATT